GCTGGCCTTGATCCTCCTGCCTCAGCCTCCTGAGTGGCTGGGATTACAGGCATGTGCCACCCTGCCTGGCTCCCAATAAACTTTCCTTTTGTATATAAAACTCCTCCATGTGTGATATTGTTACAACAATAACAACAAAAATGGAAAAGGGCACCGGGGAATTCAAGCGAGGGCAGTTTTGTGGGACTGAGCTCTTAAAGTGAAAGGACCCCTTTTGAAATTAAAAGCAACTTTCTGATAAATGGTTTTATTTCTTGAGCTAAGAGCAGGCGCCAAGGAAATCAAGACCGACATTTCTCCAGCTAAGCACAGCCGAGTTAGATCCGTGCATCACATGTCCTGCCGTTTGCAACATTGGTGGCTCCTCTTATAAAAGCTTCTGCTCCCCTGAGTCCCCAGAGATGGAGATTTAAGACAGGAGGATCTCTATCTTCCTCAACTCCGACTTTGAATAAACTGATTTTCCTCATCAGCCTGGCTCTCGAGTTTCTGTGGAGTGTGACAGGAGGCAAAGCCAGATGCCCCCAAGCGCAAAACTGCACAGTCTCACACTAACTCCAGGTAATGAGGGTCAGGACCAAATTGAATGGCAGGACACCCGGATGGTGTCCATGGAGAACTGGAGAACTGCTCTGTGTGGGAACCCCCATGTGTGTTCTGAGAGTTGGGAGGGGGCTGGGTTATGGCTCAGTGGTTAAGCGCTTGCCAAGCACGTGGGAGGCACTGGGTTTGGTCCTCAGCACCATGTAAAAGTAAATAAAGGAACTGTATCCATATGATATATATATATGTGTGTGTGTGTGTAAGAAAATAAATAAATACAAATTTTATATATACGTACATATATTTATTTATTTACTCAAAAAAGAAGTGTTGTGAGTAGGGTTTCTGACATACAGCAGGACACTCGATGATGTTGGTTGAGTGGGGGGGCATGACTGCAGACCCCAAAAGAGAGACTAAGGCCAGGAGCTCCACAGCCTGTCGCAGGATTCTCTGCTCTGCTCTCTGTGCCTTTCCTCTGCATCCATGACTCCCACGAAGTGGTGCCCGAGAACAAGGGGCAGTTGCCCAAAGCCCCCACCTAGGCCTGAACCAATGACTGTGCCAGGAGGTGGAATGAGCTGATTGGCTGGCGGGGCCACATGCCAGCCCCTGGCTCAGGCACCAGAAAAATAGATGTGTACTTGCCCGAAGTGGGAGGCTGATTGCCACAGTAGCAAATGTGACCTGCCCATTCTACCTTCCTCTGATCCTTCCAAAATAAAGACTGGAGCCTAGTGATGGCAAACACCTGTAATCCCTGCAACTCAAGAGGCTGAGACAGAAGGGTTATGAGTTCAAAGCCAGCCTCAGCAATTTAGCAAGGCTCTAAGCAACTCAGTGAGACCATGTGTCTAAATAAGATATAAAAAGCGCTGGGCGGGGGCTGGGGTTGTAGCTCAGTGGTAGAGCACCTGCCTCACACGTGTGGGATACTGGGTTCAATCCTTAGAACCACATTAAAAATAAAGATTATTTCCATCTACATCTAAAATAATATTTAAAAGGGGGTGGGGGTGGGGATGTGACTCAGTGGTTGAGCACCCACAGATTCAATCCCTCCAGAATTTGCTAAGTCTCCATTGTGCAATCCCTAACGAATAATTCAGTCTCCTGTGGTCACTGGATGACACCTTTGGTTCATTGATTCTCAGCAGTGACCATGGGCGCCTTAACATCTCCTGGGTACCCCATGACCAGGCCACATCCCTGTCCAATTGAATGAGAAGAGGCTGGGGGTGGTGCTCAGTGGTACAGCACCTGCCCAGCATGTGCAAGGCCCTAGGTTCCATCCTCAGCAGGGCAAAAAGAGAGGAGGAGGGAAGAGGAGGAGGAAGAGGAGGAACCTAGAGCAGAGGTTCTCAAACTGGTGTTTTCCAGACTAGTAGTGTCTTGTTAAGAACTTTCTAGAAATGCAGATTCTTGGCCCTCTCCCAGATCCCCTGAGTCAGAAGGTACCCAGCTTTTACAAGCCATCCAGAAGAGTCTAATGCATGCTCCAATTTGAGGATTGCTGGGCTAGAACAAAAGGGACCCCAGAGACGTGACAATCAAACCGACATGTGGAGCTTGTTTGGATCTTGACTCAAAGACACTCAGTATAAAAAGACATTTTTAAGCTAATCAGGAAAATTCGATGATGGCCCAGGTATTAAGTGATTCCAAGGAATTGTCGTAGGTGTGATAATGGCATTCTGGTTGTGAACACAAATGAATATATTTTTAGAGGTATCTACTGAAGGATGAAGAGGAAAATGACATTGCCTGAGATTTGTTTTAAAATAACCCATCAAAATGTCTCACCACAAAAATAGAGTTTGTAAGCGAGGTGACGGGATACGACTTAATCATTCCACATCATATACTGAGCCCAGGTTCCGAGGCTCCTCCCAAGAACAACCAGCGTCCAGGAAAGGAGAGCTGGGGACAAAGAAAGGCCTTATTCAGTGGCCACACAATGAAGAAGAGGGGGCTTTGCTCTCCACCCTGAAGGGCCCGGGGGTCCAGATCAGGGAAAGGAAGAGGAGGGAGAGGGACAGGCTAATGAGGGGGAGCAATATTCCTGTCTCTTCTGGGAAGGGGCAGAGATCTTCCAGGAACTCGGTGCCACCTCTTTTCACTCCTTTTATGGCCTGGTATTTCCGGAAGTGGCCCTTGAGTTTGATGGATGCCTTTACCTGCTGGGTTGGGGCAGGGAGACAGACTGGCAAGTCAAGGTCAAGTTAACCCTGTGTTATGGTTACGGATGAAGCATTTCTCAAAGGTTCAGTGTGTCTACCTGCAGAGGGAGGACATCTAACTCAAAAGTTAAGGCAACAGGGGGGAGGGGGGATGGAGGAAAAGAAAAAAAAAAAAAAAGCTTATGGCACAAAGGATTCGGGACACGCCTTTTCGTCTTATTCCAGTCACCCACCCACGGGATACCTGCAGCCCCAAATGAAGGGTAAATGTTTTCAGCCAAATTGATCTTCAGGTCCCAGAAGAGAAACCTAGGCAACTTTCATCTTGGTCGCTCACACTCAGAGGCCTCATCTACAGCAGAGCTGGTGGGAGACCAACAATGTATTGCCCAGCTGTGGGACCTCCAAAATTAATGGGGCTCTTTGTTTTGTTTTTGGTACCCGGGATGGAACCCAGAGGGGCTTTATCACTAGGTCACATCCCCATCCCTTTTTATTTTTTAAGATTTTGAGGTTTCAAAATAGTGGGGTTTCACTAAGTTGGTGAGGGTTGTGCAGATTTGCTGCAGCTGGTCTTGAACTTGTGATCCTCTGGCCTCAGTGTCTGCAGCAGCTGGGATTACAGGCGTGCGCCACCACACCCAGCTAAAATTAGTGATTTCTAAATTAATTAAGAGCAAGTATAACTAGAAGGTTTAAGCCAGGTGCCGTGGCACATGCCTGTAACCTCAGCGGCTTGGGAAACTGAGGCAGGAAGAACGCAAGTTCATAACCAGCCTCAGCAACAGGGAGGCACTAATCAACTGAGACCCTGTCTCTAAATACAGAATAGGGCTGGGAATGTGGCTCAGTGTTTTGAGTGCCCCTGAGTTCAATCTCCAGTACCTGCCCCCTAAGAAACTAAGCTTATTTATTTTTTTCCTCAATAAGATATATATATCAGGGGCTGGGCCTGGGGCCCAATGGTGGAGCACTTGCCTAGCATGTGAGAGGCACTGGGATCAATCCTCAGCACCACATAAACAAATAAAATAAATAAAGGTATTGTGTCCATCTACAACTAAAAGAGCTGGGAATGTGGCTCAGTATTTAAGCATCCCTGGATTCAATCTGTTCCAAAAAAAAAAAATCTACATATCAAAATATTACATTGTAAATATATAATTTACATAAATATATAAATTATGATCTATATATGAAGTCCTGAGGGTGTAGTTCATTAGCAGAGTGCCCAGGGTTCTATTCCCAGCGCTGCAAATAATAATGACAATGATGCAACGCCAGGTGTGGTGCCTTACACCTGTAATCCCAGCAACTCAAGAGGCTAAGGCAGAAGGATCCAAAGTTTGAAGCCAGCTTGAGCTACTTAGTGAGACCCTGCCTCATGATAAAAAGTAAAAAGCAGCAGGCATGCAGTTCAGCGGCAGAACACTTACTTGTAGGAGGCCCTTGGGTTCAATCCTCAGCACCACAAAAAAACAGATGAGCCAGGTGCAGTGGCACTTGCCTGTGTCCCCAGTAACTCAGAAGGCCAAGGCAGGAAGTTAGAGGACACTCTGGGCAACATAGCAAGACCCTGTCTCAAAATAAAAGATAAAAAGGGCTAAGGATGTAGCACAGTGGTAGATTGTACCTGGGTTCAATCCCTAGTACCACAAAAATAAATAATAAACATAAAAATAAATTAAAAAAAAAAACAGGATAAATAAAACAAATATGTTAAAACTGTTATGACATTGATTCTTTGGGGGTTTCTTTGGACTGAGTCTCTTGACTACTATGAATGTTCCAGATTTTTTCACAGAGTAAACAGGAAAATTGTGAGAGAAAGAAGGACGTGACATCTGCTATAGTTTGAATGTGGTTTGTGCTCCAAAGGCTCATACGCCAGGAGCTGTGTCAGCAGGGTGGTGCTTTGAGCAGTGTGATGGTCCTTTAAGAGGTGGGGCCTAGCGGGAGATCTCAAGCCTGGCTCCACCCCTTTAACCTGGCTTCCTGTCCGTCTACATAATCTTTCCCTCCTTTATTCAGCTCCTAGCACTGTGGTTCCATCTGTCATAAGGTAATAAAGCCAAGGAAGCCCTCACCAGAGCTGGCACTAGGCTGTGTGGACTTTCTGGCTCCCAAACGAAGCTAAATAGAATTCTCTCAAGTACCCACCTCGGGCTTTTCATTATTGTAGCAATAAAAGGACTCCTACCCCATCCGGTTCGGGTATTTCAAGCTAAAGTCACCGTTAGCTGGTCTGAGAAACGGCCCTGAGGAGAAGAGCCGGGATGGGTGGGGGTTTTCTGAATTCTTTATTATCCATCTTGCTCCCGAAAGCAGTGAGGGCCACAGAGAAATAAAAATGAGTCCCAATCTCCAGAAGCCAGGCGGGCCCACGTTTCCCGTCTTGTCCATGGTTGTGTGTCAGCCCAGCTTGATGAAGAGCAGCAGGGTGGCGAGGATTCCCGGCAGCTGGAATGGAGAGGAAAGAAACCCTGGGGTCTGGCTGGAGACCCGAAACCGGCCCCAGCTGCAGTCAGGGAGCAGGGGGACCCTCCCGAGGCGGAACTTTACACGGGGCCGCAGGTCTGTCTGGGCCTAGTCAAAGCCGCCTTGGTCCCGTGGACACAGGGGCCAGCAGCGGGTACGGGGCGTAGGCCTTGTCGTGGTGCCTGTGAGTCACCGAGCCTTTACGTGGCTCAGATCTGACGTGTGCTCTTCTGATTCCTGATTTCCAGGCTCTTCTGCCTCTGACTTCCTGAAGGATTGGCCATTAGAAGCCCAGGCAGGAGAGAGGGGAGGGCAGGAGAAGCGGGGCTGGGTGCCTCTCCTCTGCCCATCCTGAGCCTCCTACCTACACACTGTGGACACACGGCCCCTCCTGGTTTCTTGTGGATCTTCTTCCCAGTTCTTCTACCCATCATTGAAAGGGTTTGTATTTATAATGACTTCCATAAGCACTGACCCTTTTATCATTACGAAACGTCCCTTTTTGTCTCTAGTAACTTTTTGGGGTCTGATATTAGTGCAGCCATGCAGCTCTGTGTTATATATAGGGTACTGTTGACCTGGTACATCTTTTCCCCACCCTTTTACTTTCAAAACATTTGTGGCTTTGAATCGAAAGTGTTTCTTGTACACTGAATGTAGATGGATCAGGTTTTTAAATCCATCCCTCCGATCTCTTGTCTTCGATCAGAATGTTTAGTCCTTTTACATTTAAGGGAATTGCTGATAAAGTAGGATATCTATCTGCTACTTTCTAATTTGTTTTCATTCGCCCTGAGGTTTGGCTTTCTCGTCTTTCATCATGAACTTCTTTTACATTAGATATATTCTAATGTACTATTTTAATTCCCTCACTTATTTTACAATATTTTAAAATTATTTCTTAGTGGTTGCCTTAGGGATTACAGTTAAAATCTTAATTTTTGCAATGTAGTTGGGATTTGTGGCAAACTAATAACATACAAAATACATGCTCCCTTGTAGCCTTATTCTATCTTCTTTTATAATATTATTTTCATACAAATGGACTATTTATATACAAGTATATTAGCATAATTTTTAAAAAGACACAGTTGTCTTTTTAAAAATTTTTTATTGCAGATGGACATAATACCTTTATTTATTTTTATGTGGTGCTGAGGATCGAACCCAGTGCTTCATATGTGCAAGGCAAGTGCTCAACCACTGAGCCACAACCCCAGTCCCCACAGTTGTCTTTTTAATTAATTGATTGATTAATTAGATTTTTGACAGAAGGTGTTGTTATATTGCCAAGTCTGTCCCTGAATTCCTGGGCACAAGTGATCCTCCTACTTTAGCCTCCTGATTAATTGGACTATAGGTGCCCACCACCATGCTCAGCTGCAGTTGTCTTTTAAATTAAGTACAAGTAGACAACTTTGAGTAAAAAATACTTTTACATTGTTTTTCTAATTTTTATTCTGGGGAGAGGATTCATATTAACCTATTTGGTTTCATTGTTCAAGATATGGAACACGTACAAAATTTTAAATATAGTATGTCATTATGGATATATAATTATATAACATATAGTAATATAATTATAATGATATAATTGACATAATAATGTACACAAGTATGAGGTTGTTATTTCCCACCTCTTTTAATGAACTTGTGTCAATGTCTTTGAAATAGTCACAGAATCACAACTTGGGACTTAACAGATCAGTCTCTTTTGTCCTTCATTTTGGCCTTGGGATACCCTTTAGGATTTCTATGGGGCGGGTCTGCTGTGACTGCTTTCCTTGGTTTTGGTTGACCTGGGACTGTCTTAAGTTCTCCATCATCTGTGAAGGGTAATTTTGCTGGTTATTGAATTCTTAGTTGACAGAATTTCTTCCAGCATTTAAATATGCAGTCCATAGTTTCTCATGAGAAATGAGTTTTGACCCTCTTTCTTTCTTTGGTTTTGCTTGGATTTTTGTTTGTGTGCTGTTTTGGACACTCAGGGTTGAACCCAGGGCTTCACTCATGCTAAGCACAC